GAGAAAATTGCAGGTCAATGCTGTTAAAAAATTTGGAATTTTACTGAATCATCAGCGAAATCTGAAATTTTATGATTTTTAAGGATATCCAAGTACTTAATTTTTTTCGATTTTGCTGCTATCTTTTACTCCAGTGAAATGTTTTTCTACTTTTGTAGGCAAGCATCAGAGCTTTTAGAAAACACTTGGAAAAATCTGAAAAAAATTTAAAAGTTTACTTTTGGAGGAAGATCGATAAAATAATTTAAAAATTGCAATTTTTTAAAATTACGAGCATTTTCTGTAAATAATTTATGAACAATCAATTTTCCGCCATAAAAATCATTTGGTCGGAGTCCTTAAACAATTTCAATAATTTATTTCTAAACATCAAATGTTTAAAAAATAATAATTCTGTGCAAAACGTAATTTGAATGACGCTGAATATTGATAATTTTTTTTTTAATTTTTCTTACGCAATTTAATTGACAACTGATGCAAAACAAAAGATGCTTGGATATCCTTAAATCACATTCAGTATCACTCTCCACAACATCACTAGTCAAATGTCCCCGAAATTTAATATCTTTTTAACAGTGTCATCCGGAACTCTCAATACTTCCTTCTCTCCCAATTGTCGTGCATTCATAATTTATCGAAGTGATAAAAAAATATGAACCCTTGCAGCACATGAAAATAATAATGACAGTGACAGTTGATAGCCTCGACATTTGACAGCTCGTTAACTCATTTTTATGGCAGTCTATGGCGACCACGTGGGTGTCGATTTTAAACCGCCACCTGTCAAGTACCCGTGGCCATCGTCCAGCCACGCGAGACACTGCGCCAATATTCTGTTCGTGAATTTTTACCCTACCCTTTTGTCATTTATCTGGAAAACTGCCAGGTGGATTAATTATAATCCCTCGGTGACAAATATTTTGTTTGGTATCAAACATTTCAGGGGGGAGGATAATTTTATCGTCAACGGGGTCGACAACCTTTTTTGAATGATTCATGAGAAATGCGCTGACGTCAAAATGTCAGACGTGAGTGTAATTGTCACAATTACTAATCAAAATATTAGAGAAAGATTTTTCATCCAAGCTCATTAAATTCAACGATTGAAATAATAATAAATAAGTTGGTATGTTCATTTTCTCAAAAGTGAGAAGGCATCGAGATGAATATTTTGAAAAAAAAAATTGAAATCGGTCGAGTAATTTCCGAAACAAATGACCATTCCTCAATGGCGAGTTCGCATTAATACCGATAATCTGACAAAATTTCATATTTCTTGGAATTATTTTAGTCGTCCCTCCCTACAATTCTCTAAACGTTGACCACTGGGTGAACACCTGCAGTAGGCATATCCATCAATCTTCCGATTCTTCAATATTAACCGTCTTACATTGATTACGGTTTAAATATACTAATCAAAATTTAAAAAAATTAAAATAATTGATAATCTAAATTTCCAATTGATGATGAATTCAATATCTTATCGATAATATGGAACTGTAAATTTTTCATCAAGTAAATAATTCGGAATTTGAATATTTAAATTGATGATTACTTCAATAATTAAAATTGAAGAGTGATAGTAACGAAGTTACTTAATAATTTATCGGTAATTATAATTTACGATCGCTGATCCGCACGTACACAAATGGTTATCAAACTTCGTATTTTACTTTTCAGGCCATTCTGCATCATTTCCAAGCAGAATTAGAAAATCTAAAAATAAAACGACTTCAATGCTTCCATTTGGAAGCGAAATGACCATCTATGCAGATCCTCATTCACCGTCGCCACAAAACAGCTAAATCTGACTAAACTAAGCAAAGAATTCCCCTAAAAATCACAGAAACGTTCATTCATTGCGCTACCTTATGCAATGCTCCCGAGAAAAGGGGAGAACCTTGTGCAACACAAAGTCGCAAAGAGAACCAACAGTGATTGCTGCTATCTCGATCACCGTGCAAGCTACATAACAACGGCAGCTGCAATCACGACCGCCATCTGCTGTTTGGATGCAGGGAAGACCGATGGGGCCTGCTGTTATTCCAAAATGCCCCGGGACCCACCAATTAGGCTCATCCATGAGACACGTGCCCACTTGCACTTCCAGCCACACGGATTTTTGTGGCCGCGGTTAGTGATACTTTCTTGAATATTTTTTATCACTTTTTTTTGGGGAGGGAGAGACGACAGTTGGCTGGCACTCGAACATCCTCCACTCGTGCCGTGGGGCTTCCATCCTGCCGTTTTTGTAACGATGCAGTGAATTATTTAACACGATAAATGCAGATGGAGATATATTTGGGCTAATGAATATGGGAATTGTGACATAATATCACGGCTTGATATGACGGATTCAATGCACCTTCTAGGACACGTCACTCACGCGTCTGAATATCCGAGATTCATTATCTCTATTCGTATTTTAATTTATGAATATATCATTCTCATGAATAGACAGTGATGGGGCTTGTTCTGCAATTTATTGGGGGTATTTGGGGAAGTTGAATTGATTAGGATGTGAGGTGAATAATCAGGATTCTTCGGTGGCTGGAGGAATTTTCAGCGCTTTAGCGTCATGTTTAGTGCGGTTTTAGGGGATATTTCATTTCGGAATTGATATCGGTCTTTTAAATCCGATCAATTAGCCCCTCATGTATAGATATTCCAAATTTTTATTTTTTTCCTCATTGAAGTAGTTTTGAAGAAAATTGCGAGCTAATAAAAAACATTTGCTAGTTAGTACTTTTTTTAAAATAAATTTTCGGAAAATCACCTCTGAAAAAAAAGGCGTTATCCCCTCTATTTCATTATTTTCGAAAAATCACCAATCGGTAGCAAATTGTTTGAAGATTTTTGCGAGTCAAGACAAAATCGTCAATACACTCCTATTATTGTGTAAATTAACAATTCCAATTTCAACTGAAAACCAGAGTTGATGACCAGAGTTTGTAGCAGAGATGCTCAAATGAAAGAGCGGGTCGAGAAATGGCGTGCAGAAGTCTTTAAAGATGACAAATGTCTCTAAAGATGATGGCTGTTTTCAATTGAAAAGCGCAATTGTGACAACATTTTCCAGTGGGTTCTAGGAGTCTCCCCTGGTTCAACACCATCTTTAGAGGTCCTAGCACGCCATTTCTCGACCCGCTCTTTCGTTTGAGCTCAAAAAAACATTCATATCTTGTCTGACATCGCTGCTACAAACTCGGGCCTACAACTCGGGCCTTCAATTGAAGGCCCGAGTTGTAGACCCGAGTTTGTAGCAAAGATATCAGACAAGATATGAATGTTTTTTTGAGCTCAAACGAAAGAGCGGGTCGAGAAATGGCGTGCTAGGACCTCTAAAGATGGTGTTGAACCAGGGGAGACTCCTAGAACCCACTGGAAAATGTTGTCACAATTGCGCTTTTCAATTGAAAACAGACATCATCTTTAGAGAGATTTGTCATCTTTAAAGACTTCTGCACGCCATTTCTCGACCCGCTCTTTCATTTGAGCCAAAAAAAACATTCATATCTTGTTTGACATCTCTGCTACAAACTCTGGTCATCAACTCTGGTTTTCAGTTGAAATTGGAATTGTTAATTTACACAATAATAGGAGTGCATTGACGATTTTGTCTTGACTCGCAAAAATCTTCAAACAATTTGCTACCGATTGGTGAGGAAAAAAATAAAAATTTGGAATATCTATACATGAGGGGCTAATTGATCGGATCTGGTCTTTTGGATATTCGTATTTGCGAATGGAACTCATTGCTCCACCTGAAGACAACTTGGGGAAGTCTTCCGCTGGTTTTAGGGGATGATTTTACCTCTGTCGGTAAATAACAATCAGTCGATAATTTACGAATAGTCGGTGTTTCTCGGGGTTAATGTTTAAAAACTTGGGTCAAAAAAACTTGAACAAATTGAACTTCGAAAAACTTGGAAAAAATTTTAACAAACTCCAGGAAAATTATGCAAAAACACGAGAATAGAGTATTAATAACGCTTCAATGAATATAAACAAAACAACGAAGTGCAATATTAACACTCCGTTGGTCGCGTTATAAGCGCCGCGCCGCACTTTTTCCGATGGTTTTAATTACACTGCAGTAATCTCTCAGAAAAATTTGTAAAAATTTGACATCTCATTTTGAAGTGTCTAGAAGCCCTGTCAATGAAAATATCCGCCAAAACTATCATAAGTAGTTAGATTTTCAAATTTTTATTCCTAGACTCCGGGCCGTGCTCCATGTATAAGGCGAATGATCAAAAAAATATGGCAATTTTTAGCTTGAATATATAATTAAGGATAACACTGTTCATAAAAAATCTCACGAGAATTCTTCAAGAACGCGATCTAAATAACTAGATTTTTTTCAGATTTTTGCTAAATCTTTTGAATTTATCATTACGTTGATTTACGCTGGTCCGGCGCGACCAACGACGTTCGTTAAATTTGCGAACATTGAATCCAGAGTAATCAACATCGAGTCTCAATAACGAGTGATTTGCCACAAATTCACAAGCATGAGGAGATGAATAACAAAATGGTTCATATCCACAACACAACAAAATATAACGAATGATCAGTCATTTAAAGCACAACATTCAAAGGAATCCCTCTCACTTACTTCAGAGTACTGTCCCCTCTCCAGAAAATTGCATTTCAATGAAATAAACGAGAAATATCGATTATCCTATGCACCAGGAATCAATACAAAATAGACAACAACACTCTAGAAACTCATACACAACCACAGATTTTACTTCCACTCTTCCAAAAGACAAGATTACCAGTAGGTTGTCTGACGAAAGTTCAATTTGACAAAAGTTGAATTAACCAAAAGTTCACTCCCTCAAAATTGATTTAACCAGATTTTTTTGACGATTTTTCTTAGACGTGCTCCCGACGAGTTAATAAACATCAATCAATCAATCAATTAGTCAATCTCTGCCTCTCTCTCTTCTAATTTGAATTTCAGGAAAATGTTAAAGGAATGAATAATTTCCAAATTCTACGTGCCTGCCCATTGAATTTTATTAAAAGTTATCATAGAATTGTCAAATACAGTAGTAATTAAACCGACGAACGTATGCTAATATCTTCCAGAGCGTCCATCCCGCCCTTTGTCATCTCGACCCTTGCGTCTCTCCTTGGACCGCGATCTGCGCTCGCGAGATCGGGATCTGCGCTTGCGATCACGACCGCGTGATCGTGAACGAGACCTTGAGCGTCCCTTAGCACTGCCGCCTCCTCCGCCCCCGCCGCCAGCACCACCTCCGACTCCACCACCGCCACCCTTTTTACGACTGTACAAGTAACGACGCAATTCACGGGAGATTGGCTTCAAGTGCATGAAGTTGCAGAAACCAGATCTCGTGCATTCTCTGTAATTCAGATGATGAAGGATTTGATGATAACGTCTGATAACAATCTAATAATGAGAATGATCCGGGGAATAGTTCATACGAATTTTTTGCGACGCTTGCACCGATGGAAATCTCAAACAAGTTTAAGTTCCATCGAATTAATTGTTATTTTATTGTTAAATTCATTATTTCCTGTGCAATCAGGAGGTCCCACTGCCAGCAATCACACGTTTTTTTCAACTCAAGTGTTGGTTTGACGCAGAATGAGAATCAAACCGATAACTTTTCGAATGTTTCAACGAGATTGTTGTTTCTTTTTCATTTTGACAATTTTATACTTAAATACAAAAAATTAATTTTCGGAAAAAATAACAATGATGTTGTGACAGCAAATCTTGTAACTTTAACAAATTATTGTCTACTGAGCTTAACTTTATGAGAGAGCTCATTCTAAAATGGAAAATGATCAGACTCTTAAGCCCAATTTTTCATTGTTGAAAGCACAGCCGAAATATCTACCCGCTCATGTTCAAAGTATTACCAAGATTTTTTTCATCAGATGAGGAATTATCTGCAGAATGAAGATTCTCAAAATTATGAGATCAATTCTTCACCGAACTGTCTTATTAGGCATATTTGGGGTGTTTATATTCTCAAATGAAATAATTTCAATCTTAACAATCATCGAAACGTATTTTGGTAATTCATAGAAGTTTCATCTTCATGTATTACTATAAACAGCCTGCAATTGGATGGAAGTAAAATGTAAAAACTCGACATATGAAACTGCGTAAATAGTATTCATCACCAAGTGCAAAGAATAAAAATTCTAGATAATTGCCATGAAAATACTCACCCCATCTCATATTGACGGCAGCAGGCCTCCCTGAAATCCGTAACTGGTGATAGTTCAGCGTAAACAGGACGTCCCCCGAACCATCTATTGTTAAGATCATTGACTGCCTTCTCTGCGTCCTCCTCACGACGAAACTTGATGTAAACATTTCCCACTAGGTGATCACCCAGGTTGTCGCAGACATTCATCTCCTCGATTTCGCCGTACTTGTCTTCACACTCGACGAATACATCCTCGAAGAAGTTGTCGTAGTGCTCCTGCATCTCCTCGTCCGAGACGTTGGCAACCACTGGAAAATGTAAACACGCGAATTATAGTTTTCGGACTACAGCATTGTGATCATAATATTGGGTTGGAGAGAAATACGTACGATGGGAGCCATCCGCACTTTTTGCTGAGTTTTGAGGGTTTACGTACAGATTTTGGAGCAAACATGTCTAGAACATAAAATGAATGGATTAGAATAGGCAAGAAAATGGTAATAGCGTTGAGATAATAGTTTTATTCACCTGACTGAATGTCGGTTTGTTATGAATTCTGGAGCATCGGTCCCCATGTCTGCAGGCTCCGATTTTGAAGTAAAACGAGCAGTTTACTCTGAAATAGATCAGGAATAACGCACATGGAATTGTAAGAAATTTATGCTACTAGACCGGATGCGCATGATCTCGCAAGCGCTGATCTATCACCTCGTTTACTTGTGAGAAGCTTCTTCTTCATCCAAATTTTAAATGTATGAATTTCGTACACTCGTGAATACAGTATAAAGAAGAATGATACATATACGAAAACTTAATTGGTGATAAAGACAGAAGAAAAGTGAGAAATTAATGAATAATTTTGGATCTTTGATCAATTCCCTTCCACTTTTCTAAGCGACGCGATCAATATCCGAAATTGTTGAAAAATAAAGGAAGTGCTATGAACCGATTTTCCAGAAAAGTGAAGTTTCCTTGAATCGTTCCCAAAATCTGAGAATTTTCTAGGAGACTGAATTATTTTGCTTAATTTTTCTCGAATGAAAAAAACCGTTATTTTCCTAGAAATGAATGAATTTTATTTTTCATCACGCTGTGACGAAAAGTGAACTTTTCGGCACATTGTGATGAAAAATATTGTTCGTAACTCGTAAAAAAATGTTTTTTAGCTCGTTACGAAATATACTATTATGCCCCTGGATTAATAAAAAAATTCTGGAAAAATTAAAGTCTTTATAATTTCGAAAAGGTTTGCCAAATTATTGTTCATGTCATCGCATCAGAACTTTTTGAAATTCAACCCTGGCTTTATTTCCAGTTGAAGTCAAATTCTACAAAAAAGACTAGTACATAGAAAAGAAGTCATTTAATGATAAAGATGAATTATAAATGACAAATTAATCAATCATTTTGAATCTTTGATTAATTCCCTTTCACTTTTCACTCACCTGATCAATCTCTCTCTCAATAACCACAACTTAAAAACAACAAATTGATTAATTGAGCTTAGTCCAAGCTCATCTCAAATTTATGCTTTCCACAAAAATTATCCCATTGCTTAAAAAAATTCAAGAGTTATTAAGATTTTGAAGAAAAGTCAAGTGTTCATTTTGCCCCACCTACTCCGATGTTATGCGTTCAGTCTCATAAATACATACAACCCTCTAAAGATAAACACGATGACGTTTATCACTTCTATAACTATTCATGTTATTCGCTTCGGCTGTTCACATTGAAAAACAATAAATAAATAAAATACTGAGAACTAACTAAAAAGGAGCAACACTAGCTGCTCCAATCCGTCGCAACCTGGTAATATTATTATGAATAAAAAAACCACTCACTTGTCCTTTTCGGTACCAAAAATTGAGGCCAGGTACTCAGCCATTGTCACGAATTGCGCTCTTCTCCCGGTGCGAAGGGCTCAATCAATAAACACCGAATTCTTGGATAAATAATGTGGAAATTAATTCGCACACTTCACCGACGGGACGCCACTATTTTCCAAGATGTCGACAGTCGTTTCACACGGGCTTCGGCTAGTGATAACACGTCATTACGTGTTACCCACATAAAGAAATGAAAAAGAACTAGCGGGAAATTTCTCAACGCCATCTGCAACTTCTCTCCCTTCAGTTTCATTTCAGTCCGGAAGATGGAATTGTTCATTCGCTCGAACGGGTCTCTGGCTCGAACTCTCAAATATTCGAATGAATCAGGATTCCGGATTCGAATGAATCACAATGTTGTTTATTTCCGATGGCATTCGTGATAAATCTGTACATATCAGTTATTGCGGAATATCTATCCCGGGAAAAATTATTTCGCCATCGATTCGCGGCTCCCGAATGCATCCCTCCCCGTAAATAATAGATTGTCCACTCGACTCAACATATAATTTGCATATCACAGTAAAAGGGGTGGTTCTCCCCTCGTCTGCCGCGTAATAGATAAAAATTACATCTGGGGTGGTCAAGTTCGTATGAGTCATCCGATCGATTCTTCACGCATCCAAACTCGGTATACGTTTGTCATAGTCGACAAATAAAACTCCATACGTATGAACATTTTCAACGGAAAGTTTTTCTCGAAATTGAAAATATTGATGAATTTTCATTTACAAGTTTTTCAAAATTTTATTCTTTGGTGAAAGTCGCGTTATGTCATTACATTGCGGAGAAATTTTAATTTTGTGAATAATTCGTCATGAATGTTGACTTCTCTTGAAAACCTGAATATTCAAAATATTTTTCAACTCCAAGGATTTTTTAGGGGAAAATCCGTACGGAAGTCTTCAAAATAATGTTTGTCCACCAATTCAACTCATCCCGTTTTTATTCATTCATTCATTCACCAATAAAGTTCATAGAAATAATTCACAAATTGTTGGAGTTGAAGAAAGTTATAGACATTCATGATTTTTTTGTCACTATTTATAGAAATAGACTTTTAGATTCTTTAGATTCTTCATAGAAATAGACTTTTTTTTCGGAATTTTGTGCAATTGCGGTACAAATACATCAATGTCCTTGAAAAAATGAGATGTGAGTCTGGAATATATAGAATATGGAACCATTCATGCGTCGAAACTATCAATATTTAATTCTGTCCAAAAACCTCCGCATTATTCATGAAAGTTCAGAAGAATTTTCAATTTTCCAAACAATTCTTCGTGAATATTCAGTATTATATGCAAATTATTGATGTATTTATCGATAATCGGCTTCAAAGAATTGAATATGCACAAACTTCTCGTGATTTTCGAGAGCTATCAATTCGAAAATTCATACAAAAAATGTTTAAATGATAATTTTCATCAGATTTTCGAATAATCCTCTCATTATTTATAAAACTTCAGAGGAAATTTCCATTTTCCAACCAATTCAGTATTCCATGCAAATTATTGGTCTATTTACTGGTAATTCACTTCACAGAATTGAATATTCAGACATCTCGTGAATTTCAGGAATTATTAATTTAAAAATCCGTACAAAAATTGATTGAGTGACAATTTTTATTGCCCATCCCATTACTATTCACTTATTAACCCCCATGAGTCAAAGTTCTTTAAAATAATTCGCATACTACTTCTAGCACTGAAGAGAGGACACTACGTTTTGAAATATGCGTTTGCGTATAGTAACCGCAGTCGGTGCTAAATCAAAACCGACAATACAATTGAAAACCGCATCGTAAAAGCCTCTCCGTGACAAAATATGATTTTGCTGGGTGTATTATCGCGAAGAGACGCTCCAAGCCATGCCAAAGTGACTGAAAGCTTTCTGATTTTTACAGCTGTTGCGTGAGCTTATCTTCCTCATATTTAATTCATTTATGCCCACCGTCTTGTCATAAAAAACTTACAACTCAGTGGTACCATTTTCATCTGCACTTTATTCCTCTTCATTCGAGTTTTCACTTTGCAACAAACGAGAGTGTGAATAATATGATAGTGAGTGGATGATGATACAGTATTAAGCAGCGTCACCTGATATCGTGTTATCCAAGAGTCAATGAGTAAGTTCAATTGCGCGTAATGACATATCTTCTGAAAGAGCTCAATTCAAATCTAGGAGATACGACGCTCGATAAATATTAATTTACGTTTTCTTATCGCATCCGATAACGTCGCGCAATAATTGTGTAAGTTTCGAAGTTCCTTGTTTCGTTTGTTTTATTCAGAGAATAAATTGCCTTCAAATTAAAGATAGTGTCTCGAAAAAAAGGCATTACTCATTATTTTATATATGCTCCGCAAAAAATAAACTTTATAATTTATTCAGATCTTGGAGTATTTCCCAACGAAGAATAGAATTGAGACCTCCAGAATTTAAATAATAAAATCATTGAAAGTTCTAAAGAATTCTAAGGTAAAAGGAATTGTCGAAGGACTTAGATATCCATAAGAACATTGCTCTTAATTTGTGATTACTTTTTTCAACTTCAAAGTAGAGATGAAGAATCATTCCTAAAATTAACAAGATTGAGAATAAGACCACCCGTTTTGGTAATGAGTAGCAATTGTATAAGTTTCGAAGTTTCATGTTTCATTTGTTTTATTCAGAGAATAAATTGCCTTCAAATTAAAGATAGTGTCTCGAAAAAAAGGCATTACTCATTATTTTATGCATACTCCGCAAAAAATAAACTTTATAATTTATTCAGATCTTCGAATATTTCCCAACTGTTCAGAATGGAGAATAAAATTGAGACCTTCATAATTTAAACACTAAAATCATTGAAAGTTCTAATGAATTCTAACGAAGGAAAAATTGTCGGAATAGTTCAGTGGTGGCAGAAATACAGATGAAAAACTCTCCATCTGATGACATTTATTTTTCTGTCTTCCCAGGTACTGGGACAAAGCGACTCGTCTTTCGGTAATTAAATTGAGAACGTCACCTGTCTTTCCACTGACAACACAAGCCCTTCAATTTTACCAACAACAGTCACCAAGAATGCCAGAATTGTTTTAACTGCGCAAAACAATTGTAAATGTCAAAATTAATCCTCAACAAATTCTGATGGAAACATTTTCTACAGATAAATGTCAAAATAATTTTCAACCTCCCAACTAACTATATCCGTCGAGCACGCTTTCTTCCTCGTTAGATACTCGTGAAAATGCCTCTTCTCACGCATAGCCATACAATCATAAATAAGTAATAGATTCAGCGGGTTGTATAAAATCGTCGCGCGTCCTGATTCACCCAACTCCGGAACTGTGAATCAAACCCCACCACGAACGAGAACAATAAACAATTTGTTTTCTATCCTTAATTCGAGCCTTCCACAGATAAATTTCACTCGTACACGTGGAGAACTGAGGGAAAAAAATTGCACGCATTTTATTGACGGATTGTTGAGGAAAAAGTGATCCCCTTACTTATGTGGAACAATGGCGTTGTCACCGGAAAACAGGTGAATCGGAATTGAAAAAAAATGTGTTCTCTCACTGTCGCGTGAACCCACAATTACCTATGGCGCGTGTTCTTCAACTATTATACTCTTGGGAATAAAAATTCTCGAGGTTTTTCATTCACTTCCAGCCAACTCTCGCATTCTAGAGAAGAATCCATTTCCCTTTTTTATTCAGGGGTATTACGTGTGTTAAACGTGATACTCTGATGCACATTGAGCGAGAAAATTAGCTCTGCCAAAATCTATGTGTGAGAATATTTGATGGAGTGGAACAGATTTACTTGAGGAAAATTAGCTAAGTTGTTAAAAAGAAATTTGATATCTTTCACGAAAATTAGTAGCGAATATTTGTTTTTGATTTGACATTTTAGTCAGTTGTTAAATTTTCGTCTGATGCGTACTTGAAACTTCATCAAGAAATTGATGATTTCATTAAATTTTTCAGGTACATTTTGTTATACAATCAGGTTTGTTTTTTCAGGTGTCTGAATTTCTTCACAATTTCGTCGGGGAAAGTTGTTTAATTTTCTGATTTCATTGATTTTCAATAATTCATTTTTCTTTTACTTTTTTAAATTACAATTTAGTAACGAAGTGGTAAAACGGTTTGAGTCCACTTATCTCCCAGTTGAGTTTTTGAGTAATATTTCCGAATCTATGGGAAATAGCGAAATTTTCGTAATTACATTTGTTGTAGCACTCAATCGGCTCTACAAAAAAGGTTATAACAAAAATTTTGCCATCTCCCCTAGATTCCGAGATATTAATTGAAAACTGGTCAATAGTCGAAATTAACTTGTACCGTTTTACCACTTCGCTACTGAATTTGATGTGGAGTTCAATTTGAGAATATTTTTATTTCCATTCCATGCAACGTAAATAAAAATATTAGGCGTGGCAATTATTTTCAAGGGATGTGGTAGTGGAAAGAGCTACTGCTCTTGAATAAAAAATTTACTTGATTTTAATCAACGTATCGTCCATCGCTCTCTACTATTTTTTGTCAAATTTCTTGGCAACAGGTGAATTTCGTGGTGAGAAAATCGAATATCCTTTGGAGAAATCCAATCCAAGAGCCCTTAAAAATTAATTGCCACACATAATATTATCAAATTTTCTACTCAAAATTTACGTTGCATTATAGAGAAAAATCGATTTCCCTTTTTTTTATTATATATTGAAGGGTATTAATTGCTTTTTAGATGTCTGCGTACAAATATTTCGATGATTTTTCGTCAAATTAATCACTCTAAAAAATTCTTCTCCTCAATTCATCAATATAAAAATTTCATTCAACCGCAGAATCAAAATTAAAAGAAATTACTCATCACTGGAATCGCTTTTCCACACCAACTATCATTTAATTACTTATCTTACTTATCACCCACCAGATAACCGAAATAATATTGTTCATTTGGTCGTGTGGAAGGGGCGCAGGCGCCCCCACGGGCCGCACCGTAAAGCGAGACCGGGGAGGTCAGCCGTCAAGCGCCAGCTGAGGCCTCAGTACACGCGCGATCTTCTAACAGTGCGGATGCACTATTTCCCGGCATTTTCTCTCTCAAATTTCCACAAAACCCTCACAAAAACCTCGTCCCGAGTGAGTTCCCCGAGTGTGATCTCTCAAAATTCGCCAAATAATCCCGAAATTTAAAGATCAACTTCTCACCGAGATTAAATTCGAGGTCAGTGGATCGATAAACAGGTACCACGTGTTTCAAGGTCACGCGTAGAGAATCTCCAGACGCGTCGTGACGCAGTCCCCGAATTTTCACCCATCGAAAATATCCGATTGTTCACTTGAGAGAAAAGGGGATCGAGAATGCCGGCCGATGCAGAGCTCAGCACGATTTTGAGTCGTCGTCAGAAGATAAACGATCAACTCGAAGAGGGCAAAGAGGTCAAAAAACAGTACAAATTCGTCAATGTTTACACGGAATTTCATGAACTGTCTCGTCGGGAGATCAAGCAGTACGAGCAGACCTTCAACAGGTGAGTCCCGCTCCTTTCCCAGGCATTTTTATACACTGAGAGATAAAAACAGCAGAGTTCTCAATCAAGTTTTACTCGTGGCAAAAAATCGTTCGTTAAATATGATCAAAAAAGGATTTTTTTGTGCAAACGTGCGAAACGTGCACTGAGACTGAAAATTTGTCTTCCAAACACAGATTCAGTCTTTAAAAAAAAAAAATTTTCTGTGTGCAAGCAAGAAATGTAATTTCTAGCACTACTGCTTCGTTGTTCGATGCTCCCATACGTATTTTGCTCCCGGCGAATGCTCGTTTTATATGAAACGAGGGCTAGTAGTTTGTCATTTTGGCTATTCAATAACAGTGATGGGCATATCAACCAATTATAATTACCGTTAAATTGTGAAGCTGTCAATGTTTAACATAAATCTTAAAATTTTAAATATTATAGTAACCATCAATTTGTACAATTAAATTTCGAAATATTCTATCAACCAATAATTATGTAAGAAGATGGACGATTATTTGGATAATCGAAAATCAAGTACCTAAAGTTAGAATTAGCTTGGTAACCAAAAAGTTACATTTTAGTATTATCAAATATTTTATTCACCATCAATCAAAAAATTTAGCTAATAAATTCTATAATATTTTTAATTTGGTAAATATAGTTAAACTTTGAACATTATAACGAGATAATCCTTTTTAATATTCCGAAAATCTAATATTATTGCCTATCCCTGTTCAAAAATCACAGACAAAAATGAATGGATAATATACAGAATATTATAAAAATCTGAATCGACTTCTGGTGATGAAAATTAAGACTCCAAAATTAAGGGTCAAAAACTACAGGTCTCAGGGGTCAGATTAAGGGTTACATGGGTTAGAATAAGGGTCTAAATCCGGGTCATGATCAAAATAAGATTCATGAGGATCAAAATAAGGGTGAGAATAAAGATCTAATTAAAGGTCATGGGGGTCCCATGGGGGTTGACGAGCAGAGCGAGCAGGGGGCGTAGCCCCCTAGTTCGTAAATGAAATAATAACAATGATATGACAGCAATCTTGTAACTTAGGGGCAAAATATTTTTCGATAAATTTCGCTCCAGGGGGGACTGGGGGAAAACGGCCCCTTTCGATTTTTTCGAAAATGTTAACAGCTCATTGAATTTCTTTCCATGGAAACTCCACTTCTTCCCCTTTAGAATGAGCCTAGACTGATCTTACTTAATGAATTTGTTTCTGAGTTATGAGCACCACGAAAAAAAAGGGGCCGTTTTACCCCACTCTCCCTTATAAAAGATATATTTATCCTGGAAAGGCACTGTCTTGTATGACTGATCCGCCTCTTGCGCCAAATATTTCGTTGTTGTTGAAAGCAGAGCAATTATTCGAGTTTGAGATTTTCGAATTCGAAGCAAACAATTTTTTCTTGTAATTTTCAACCGACGATTTTGTTGGCCCAATCAAGACTTGGTTGAGAACTCGTTCGTTTTTCTCTCAGTGTACCACTACCTGTTATGGTAGCGCTCTTAGATGACGAGAGCACATCAGTGGGGATCGATTTATGGTTTGGCTTGCGGTCAGCGCTGGATCAATGACTCGTGACGTTTGTTCTTCCGATTTAATCGTCAGATTTCTCGATTCAATTGCGTGAGACGACGGGGGAAAAAGCGGGAGTACTCAGTCCTCTAATTACGTCTTGCAAAAAAATTACGATCTTTCGAGATTGTTTTTTCTTGGAAATGAAGGAATGATGAGAATTTTCAATTTTTTGTAGAGAGAATCATTTAAATAGGGTAAAGACTCATTATATTACTTCCTATTTATCAAATCAGTAAGTATATATTTTTTCCAATAAACACTTATAATTTGTATGGAAAAAATGATAATTTCAAGAGGAAACTACAATTTTCTTGCCGATAACTGTGTTATTGGCAAAACTAAATAATGTCGAGGGGACAATTTTTTGGGAAAAAATTATTCTTTCCCCGTCAATGTATTTTTTCTATTGTATGCACCTATGGAGTTCGTTCACATCAAATGATCGTCGTACAATAGATTATATCACGACAAAAATTTAATTTTTTTCAAAGACATCGAATTTCCCTCTCTCAAATGGGTTTATCTTCCTCAAGTAAATCTGTTCCACTAATGTTTTCTCTCACTGTACCACGATTCATTAAGTATTAACTATTAGTTAAAAAGCTTCGTTAACAGCAACTAAATCCCTCTGTCAGTGAGCAATAGGAAAATCCTATTATTTCCGTCTACAAATAGCCACTAACGAGTGAATGATTAACGCGCCACTCTTAACTGAAGATAAAACGAATGTGAATTCTTATGCGTTACACCAATCATCGAGATTATTTTCCCACAGACTTTTTATGAATCCATCATTATTCCACGTAATTGATTTATTACGGAGATAAAACTGTATAAATTAATTGTAATGACGAACAGATACGTGTCACGCTAGTTTTTCCACGCGTACTTTCTCCCCTAGATGAAAATGAATGAATGCTCTTCATCCGATTCTCCTTTCGCGAGTGATTTGATGATCATAACATTTTTTAATTGCGATCGTGTTCGATCAATTTCAAATGATGATTATCACTCAATTGAACGATTGTCGTGATTCATTCATAACGAGGAAAAAGCGACAGCTAACGATTGGTGTTGCCCAAATGCCGTTTTCTTATTTCCATCCTCGTCTTCTGTTTACAAAAGTCATCATGATTCAATCTCGAGAGCCAACAGCTCTTGTTTATTACATTAACTCTCCCCAGATGTCTCAAACGAAAGCAACAGGACAGACTTCGACATTTAGGTCGCGATGAAAAAATATTTACATCTCAATTTCACAACTGTCGCTCTACATCGTTCAAGTGTTATTATTAAACATCGAGAGAACGAGTTCATCAATCCCTGCACTGGGATAACTCTGACTGCACCTCCTGTTTGTTTAATTTTGGAGTTGTTTTCCGGGATTTGATGATTCGTGCCAAATATCTCGGTGGGGTCAACATCCCCGCTGGTCTAGAAATATCTCACTACCGCGGTTGCAGGAGTATTTGCATTATTAATTCTCTGTTTTACTTCTCCACCAGCTTGAATCAGCTTACATAATTTCACATGAGCAATGGAAATTAATTTCTCATTTGACGGAATCGATAATTCTCTAAAGATCGGAATTTCACATTTTCAAAAGAGTTCGGAACTGAAATTTCACTTTTTTTGCAGTAAAAATTTACGAATTCCCGGTGAATCGATACTGTTGGACATTTTTATAGAAAACAAATATATAGAATGATCGAGTTCATGTGATGATCACTTGAATGTTCTGATTGATTGTAAAAATTTGACAGCATTGAATTGATTTCCTCATCAGATCACAATTGAAATTTCAGAGTAAATAAAAATATTCTAGTTTTCTACCCAAAATTGCAGGTGATGGGAATTTAACTGACAATTGCATAATAATTTAACTGCTTTTGTCATCGAATTGATTTCGCAATTGCGTTTGAGGTTTATCTGAAAGTTCATCAAATTTCAAATTTATATGCAATTTCAATGGATATAGAAGATTTAATGACAACTCGCATTTCCAGATTGATTGTCGAAATTTGAGGCTCATGGAATTGAATTCCATATCAGATTAAGACTGAAATTTTTATAGAATTTTCAACAAATCGATTGATATTTCGCAAACACAATCTATCTGAATTCTGAAGTTTTCGCTTGAAATTTGAAAGGTTCATGACGATTTCAACAATTACCGCGTCCTCTTGATTAAATCCGTCCTTAATAAATCTCAATCCACTAAAATTCGCCATTAACTACCAAATTACCGCCCGGCAATGGGATTTGCAAACGCGAAATTTTACACGAGAAACACTTCGTATTTTCTGAATAAATTTACGCCTCTACAAAATAAAACAAAAGTGATAATAAAGTCTAGTCCCTTCGAGGAAGGAAACACAATTTCACTACACCGGATCCTGGTACATACAATCGTTGCAAGTGGGCATTTGGAGGCTATATCTATTTCCAGGAAGCACCTGGAGTCTCGTGCGGTCGAAATCAGCCGGTTGTACAGTGCGGAGGCAGGAAAGTGCGTCCCTGGGCCTACCTGGCCACTCTTCGCATTGTTGGATCTGCCGGTTCAAAATATTTCCCTCCTCCCCAGCCGACCCCAGCAAAAAGCCACCGAGAAGGAAAAAAACGAATTGAGCCTGGCAGTGGAACCAGAATGAGAGCTCGCCCCGATAAAATAACATCTGAAATATCCGCGGCCCTTTAAACTCAATTTCATTCAACAAAATGGTTTTTCGAACGATCTCTTTTATTTTTTTTTTCTTCCCGTACACCCTTTCAGGTCTTTACGATTTGTTCCCTTCCCACCCCCCAACCCCCTGTACACGGAGAGAAATGTTCAGTAAACATTACGGAACTCTCACTTCACTCACCGATTACGGAATCGACTCGGAAAATTTAAGTGACGGTATTGTAATTTTTCACAAGAGATTCAGGTAAAAATTACGGAACGGTCCGGAAAAATTCCGTGACAGTTCCGTAAAATTTCCTACAACCACATTTCGCTGTGGAATTACGGAAAAGATACGTGATTTTTGTTGAATATTTCTCTCCGTGTACCGCATACGCCGAAGGACAAGGGAAAACCTCATTTTGAGGGAAAAACCTGCCCAGGTACAGTCGTCTCTTGCGGGACTCCCGCTCGACAATGAAACCGTGAGATTTAAAGTGTCACAAATTTTGGCACCCCCAGGCGGGAATCGAACCCGGGTCTCCCGCATGCCAATCCCACATTCTAACCACACTGCCGCACCGCCGTCGATGACACCGACGATTATTTTCATCTAGTGCACAGATCGTTTATTCATTTTTTCTGATTTTTCGGTTTTTTTCTAGATTTTAATTTTCTCCCTAATCTCAAAAAGTTTATTTCTCATGAGACTGCTATTTTTTTCATTTCTATAATAATTATTATCAGTAATA